TACAATGAAGCTTCTTATTTCAGGCTGGAAAATCAGATTTGAGTTCTGTCTCTGTCACTCAACTGTGTAATCATTGGCATCTAGTAATTTAACATTTTCAAGCCTCAGTTTTCTCATCTGTCAAATGTAAACAGCAGTAACATCTAACAGGCTTGCTGTGAGAATCGAGGTATGTGAAAACAATTTATAAGCTCTTCTTTGCAAACGTTATCATTATCCTCTGCTCCTAACAACAATCCTAAATCTCATTCTAAACTAGTAATCTAATTTAAAATTAAGCTTCCATCCTATTAAAATACTCATTTGGAGGCTTCTTTCCCCAAAGGGTTTTTCTTACTGGTCAAACTTAGCAAATACCACACTGCCAAGCAAAGTGAAAGGTTAGAGGAACTTCTATTATCTCTAGAATGCTCTCAATATATCCCATCATTACTCTCCTGTCCATCTTATTCAAGGGTGGACTGTTAAATAAGTTGAAACTATTCACTTACCCACCTCCCCTGAATTAAGAAAGATCCATATAATGCAGAATACCAGGAGAAGTGAATTTGGCAATACTGTACAGTTCCTATGTTACTAACAATTTCCATTATATCCCCCAGGGACTTGGGTTTGACACTGCATAAGCATCATTCATAGGAAAGGGCAAGAAGCAAATCTTCATTAATAGAAGGCTTCCTTATGAAGCACAGACCTTCAATAAATAAGGTGCCACTAGTCCATCTTCTGAAATAGCATGTTGGATATTTACTGCATCAGTCTGTACTAGCAAATGACCAGAAACAACCACAATGTCCATCAGTATGAGGTGTTAAATTAGGATGTATCACCCAGCCGGGCGTGGCTCAGGGGTTGAGCATCGACCTACGATCCAGGCAATCGGGGTTCGATTCCCAGTCAGGGCACATGCCCAGGTTGTGGGCTCGATCAATGACTCTCTCATCATTGATGTTTCTCTCTCTCTCTCTCTCCCTCTCTCCCTCTCCCTTCCTCTCTGAAATCAATAAAGACATTTAAAAATAAAAATAAATTAGGATGTATCCATACATATGCACCCATTAAAAAGAATGAGGAGGGGTATAAACTGGTACGGAAAGAGCTCAAAAAAAAAAATGAAAAAAGCAAATTGCAGAACAACATGCAAAGTATGCTGCCATTTGTGTAAAATGAGTACTTTCTCATACACTTGTATATGTATATACATGAATACTGTTACATCTATTGTGTATACATGAAGGATACACAACAAACCTAACAGTAATTGTTTGGATGGCTGAGGTGCAAGAATAGACAAAAGATTTAAACTTTTCAATGTACAGCTTTGTGTATCTTTTGAATTTTGTGTCACATAAACATACTACCTATACAAAAAATAGTAACTTGTTTACATCTTTAGGCTTGATGTTTGGAATCTATGTGGCAATATTAAATTGACCATTTTAGATTTTACTCATCCACAGGTGACAGCTTTAGGATCCCCCTAATTCCTGAAAACTCTGTATCAGAAAAATATCCTAGAATACCAAAGGTTTAACCAACCTTTTGAACAAATAAAGGTTGAGAGAAAAGTTTAGCATAAAGATGCCCTTTTGATTTCACTAAAAACTGGTACTCCAACTTAGTCAACTTTGCCTTTCTTCTTTAGAAACAAAACTTCATAAGTAACATTTATGTACCTTACAGTGGGCTAAGTGCTTACATATTTAATGATTCTTATAAGATGAAAATTTGTTCATTTCCAATTTTTTGGAATAAATTTTGTACCTAAAACTGTTTCAAAATGTATTATTAATATTATTTAGGATTCCTAGAAATGAAATAACTGAGTCAAAAGATTTAAAGTTTTTTTTAAAGGCTGACAATTTTTTTTTTTTTAGTGACTTTCTCTTTTATCTCTGGTGACCTATTTTCCACTACTATGTACAGGGGTGGGCAAAAGTAGGATTACAGTTGTGAATACCCAAAAGTTTATTCTTGTCTTATTAATTACTATATTATTTGTATTCTTAAATTATCATCATTATTTCGTATCCTTATATCTTTTAGATAATGATGGCTGCTAATTTAACCAACAGCCAACAAAAGTGGACTCTTAAACCTACTTTTGCCCATCCCTGTCCTTTCCTACTTTTTTAATTTAAATCCAGAGACTTTTAAATTAGCAGATTATCAGTGATAGTCATTTACAGCTTTCACCGTTTGCCCCTTGTTTCAGGCCTCAAATTTGTTAATGCGTTTCTGGAATCCAATACAGGAAAATATCTGGCTACAATATTTTATGCTATCCCTACCACCATTCTAACATGTTTCTAATGAGAAGTTATCAATCTTAAAATCCTACTATACCTTCTAAATGGGATTTAAACAAAGGTCCAACATTCTTCCTTGTAGGCTCATCAGAATTAGGTAGAGGATCTCCTATCCAAACTACATTTCTTTTTTTGCAATTCAAGGTCTGTTTCCTCTAGGAATCTATTTCTGATTTACTCTACCAGTCCTCTCACTAACCCACCTAGCAACATAATTCAAGAATTCACTATAGAATATAGTACTTCTTACTCTATTTCTGTATTTGTTTACCAAACAATATCTTCCCCATTAAATTAAGCGGTCAAAGGGTAAAAACTGTTTCTATAATTGCTAGCTACTTATAAAATACCTCATCAAGCCCTAGCCAGTTTGCTCAGTGGTTAGAGCATCAGCCAGCGGACTGAAGGATCCTGGGTTCGATTCCAGTCCAGGGCAAGTACCTCGGTTGCAGGCTCAACTTCTGGCCCCAGTCGATGCTCAAGTGGGAGGCAACCAATCGATGTGTGTCTCACATTGATGTTTCTCTCTCTCTCCCCCTTACACTCTCTGAAAAGCAATGGGGAAAAAAATCCTCGGTGAGGATTAAAAAAAACACAAAACCTCAAGATATAGTAAAAGCTTTAACTGATTTCTATTTAAACAACTTACTGGGGTAAGTGATGCTTACCCCAGTGATTTAGTTAAACAAATCTCACTTCCCTCATCAAAAAATGAAGTATTAAACCTACCTCACAAGGTTTTGAAGATTGACAATTCACATGAAAAGTATTTACCATGATGCCCGGCACATGTTAGTTGCCATGTGCTCTGCCAGCAAAAGACATGCCTATTCTCAGCCCTTACCAAAAAAAAAGTATCAATTTCAAGATTAATTTAAGCCCTATCTCAAAGATAATTCAATAGGACACTAGAAGTAATGGCAGCACGAGGCAGAGTACTTCTATATTATTTCTAAGTGATCGTTAACCAGAGGTGTATATGAGAACACCTTAGTTTTTGTCAAATTCAAAAGCCCAGGCTCTATCCCAGTTGAATCAGGCTCTCCAGGGCCCAGATATATATTTACACATAATACATGTACTTATTTTATATGTACATATTTACATATTAAAAGTTCCCCCAAGTGTTTTTAAAAAGTACTAAAAATAAAGGTTCAAGTTGCCAGGAAAAAAAAAATTAAGTTCCCCAAGTGGCTCTGATGTAAATCGCTGAAGAACTGTTAAGAAGATAAAATTATTGATACTTTAATAAAAGATTACCCAATTGTACTTATTCAACTGTTAAAAAAAAACTTGGGCAGATTAAAATATGAGTTAGCCAAATAACCAAAATAAATTTGATGGAATGCTTGAGAAAACTACTTATACGTAGAAGATCTCAATATTTCCAGCCCAGCTGGGCGTGGCTCAGCGGTTGAGCATCGATCAGGGTTCGATTCCCGGTCAGGGCACATGCCCGGGTTGTGGGCTTGATCAATGACTCTCATCATTGATGTTTCTCTCTCTCTCTCTCTCTCCTTTCCTCTCTCTGAAATCAATAAAGATATATTTAAAAATATATATATTTCCAGGTTTTCCTGTTCAAATATATGTTGCAGATGTAAACCAAAACCATAATATCACCCTGCAAGTGTCACTCCTACTGAAATGTTTTTTCTGTATTAAAGAGAACTGTAAGGACATAACTCATCAGCATTAACTTTCTGTCTTCATGTGTTTAGGACAGACACAAGTCTTTAATATACTTCCAAAGCAGGGTGTCTCAACCTTAGCACTATTGACATTTTGACCTGGATAATTCTTAGGGAGGGGTAGAGCACACAGGCTATCCTGTGCATTGTAAGATAATTAGCAGCATCCCTGGCCCTTACCCACTAAATTCCAGTAGAACCCCACCTTACTCCAATTGTGACAACCAAAATGTTCCTATGTTCCTAGACATAGCCAAATATCCTCTGGAGAGAGAGGGGCAAATCACTCCCCACTGAGAACTACTGCTCTAAGGAATGTTTTTCCTGCCTTGCTCTCTTCAGTTTTCCCTTTTCTTAATGAGTTATCTCAATTTCTTCAGACAGGACAAAGTGAGCAAAGTGAGCAAACCCCAAAAAAGGACTGGCTCTTTCTTATTGTAAAAAGCAGCAATGATGTGAACTAGCACAAGTAGTTCTCACTTAGCTATAAGCACATATTGGTAGAAGTGGGTTTCAATGCCCATTCAAGCACTTACCAGTGTGGTCTTGAGCAAGTCACTTATCCTCTCCAAATCTGTTGCCTCATCTGCAAAATGGGAATAACAATATCTACTTTGCAGAGTTGCTATATTAGAATAATTTAAGTAAAACAGTACTGTGCCTGACACGTAGTAGAACTGCAATGGTGGTTATTACATTATTACCATAAAGGTTGCTAGCATCGTAGGATATTGTACACCCTCTGTAGTGCTTATACCAGTGCTCCAACTTTATTGTGCATTAGAATCACCTGTGAGAGTTGTTCAACATTGAAGATACCCAGATCCCTCCAAGAGGTACAGGAACAACACTGAAGAAAACTGAGATTTTTTAATATTATACTAGATTCTGATATATTTTCTTGCTGTTGTAAAACTCTGCTGCATTCTAAGACACAAAAGCAAGTCATAAAAGTAACTGAACCACATAAATTGTTTACCACATAGAACAAAAACTACAATAACGACATTTAACAGTTTATTTTGAAGGTCATTTTAAAAACAAAGTTAAAGACAATCTGAGAAAAAATTGCACATAATACACTCATTAAATAAGTATGGTGATTAAATCAAAATAAGGGAAATAAGTTTTCTTCTGCAACTCCAAGAACAAGTTGTTGTCCTGAAGGTTCTTATACTTCCAAAAAGGCTGGGGGGGAAATCATGGCAATTAAAGCTGCCTCTTAATCAGTAAATCTACAGTAGAAACCAAACATTTCTGTTCTTCCCAGTAAGTCAGTTTCGATCTTCAAACTGTGCCTTGTTTTTTAAGAGATATGATGCTAGAAATTCAATGGGATTTGGTGGTCTGTAAAGGAAAAGAAATCCAAAATTTAGCAATTTATATTCTAGATGTGTTCATTTAAATATATTATTCCATAATAAAAATACATCTTTTTTTTTTTTTTAAGATATCTTTATTGATTTCAAAGAGAGGAAAGGAGGGGGAGAGAGAGAGATAGAAACATCAGTGATGAGAGAGTCATTGATCAGCTGCAGCCCACAACCTGGGCATGTACCCTGACCGGGGATCAAACCCTGATCGCCTGGATCCTAGGTCGATGCTCAACAGCTGAGTCACGCCCGGCCAGGCAAAAATACATCTTTTAAAGTCTACCTGTCTTTTTACACTCAAAGGCCATGTGTAGTAAATATAGTAAATGAGATAGGCAAGCAGGTTAGCCAACAATGCAGTATAGATTGAAATTTTTGTATGACTGAAATCTGCTTATGAACTCAATTCTAGAAAAAAAGTTTGAAAAATGTACTGACAATGGGATCATGATCCCCAGGGGAATAATGACTTGAAGGGACCACAAACTGAGGCTTCTGAATGCAGGTTACATAGGCATGCTTAGTTTCTGAGAATTCACAAGCTGTACACCTATGATATTCTGAATTTTCTGTACAAGTGTTAATCTTCAATAAGAATACAAAAATACAGTATAGGAAAATGGCTAAGCCGTCACTTAGGGGGTGCATGCAGATGAGCTCCCTACGGGACTAATCAAAGGAAGCAGTATTCACTTGAACAAGTTCTGTTTTGTTTCTTTTTAAAAAGTCATTTCTATCTTCAAATAATTTACATCAATAATACTGCCACCACACAACACACCTGAGAAGTTAAACATATTTTAAAATTAAGGGGTATTATTTTATATTTATCATTTCTATATAAATTATTCTTGCTGAGAAAACAAGTCCAAAGATGAAAAGTGGGGGAAACACCAATTTAAACCCTAGTAGGAAAAGGCATACTGAGAATTGAGTTATAATGATCTCAAAAAATATTCCCTTAGCATGTTAAATAGTCTTTTAACTGGCTAGACATAGACAACATTTTTCAAGATTTGATACATCATTTTGCCAGACTCCCTACTTTAAAATTGTATTTACTACTAGCATATTACTTTAAACTACTTCAAATTTTTTCTTCTAGCTCGTAAAATAATATTTAGAATTTCTAATTATTAGCCTCTTTTAGAGAAAGAACAAAAAGATGTTAATACTTCAACTGTCATCAGTAGTAGAGCCAAAAATAAATCCTATTTTATAAATATAACAATGTAAAATATTTAATGTTTATAATTTTACAAAAACAAATTAATATACTATTCTAAATCAATAAATCAACCTAATTGTAAGATATAATTCCATCAAGTTCCTTATCAAGGTTACATCTGACTGCTAGTACTCATATTATTATTCTTTGACTAAAACATAATCTTCACCCTAGTCAGTTTGGTTCAGTGGCTAAAGCATCGTCCCTGGGTCTGAAGGGTCCGGGGTTTGATTCCAGCCAAGGGCAATCCCCCAGCCCTGGTCAGGGCATGTGCAGGAGGCAACCGATTGGCGTGTGTCTCTCCCATCGATGTCTCTCTCTCTCTCTTTCTCTCTCTCTCTCTCACTCCTGCTCTCTCTTGAAAAGCAATAGAAAAAATATCCTTGGGTGAGGATTAAAAATATATATATATATATCTTTAATATCCATAAATTCTTTATATAGGAAAAAAACTATATATAACTAATGATATTTCAATTAGAAAAGTCTTTCTCTGGTAACTCCTTCTGCAGACACTACTTTCTTACCTTTCCTTTGCAAGCACAGCAAGCCCCTGTAATAAGATAGGCACAACTGTCTGATCCAGGTAGGCACGAGTTGGCAAAGCCTGTAGATCCACTTTCTGTTTTGATGACTTTTCTGCATTAATCTTCTCATTTTCTACTATCCTCTAGTGAATCCAAAAAAACATGCACGAATATTACAAATACTTAGGTTATTTTGAGTGCTAAACAAAAATTAATGGAAACATGACACTAATAGAAAAGACAAGCCATTGACTAAAAACTGGTGTTAAACTGCAAATCTCTCTGCCAAAATAAAATCAGACCCATCTCTAAAATGCATTCAAGCTTCTCCTCTCTGAGAGCACCATAAATATCTCTTTCTTTTAATGTCATATCTTCAGATCCTACTCTTTCTCACTTTCCTCTGCCTTTTTAGAAGTAAATACAAGTCCTTATTCTTTTTTCATTAGACTACCTTCTTACAGTGTGCTTCAAAAAATCTGGACATGACACTAAGTAGCACTGAATCACAGTGAGAAAACTAGTCCTATTTCAATTCTTTCATCACAGATAATATCAAGGACAAAGTTTCAGTTTGGTGCTAATATGTCTGTAACACTTCTGTAACACTTGCTTAACTCTCTTCACAGAGCAAGTAGACCTCAGGCTCAGAGCCTTCCAATGGCAACAGAATCCAGCTAAAATTTATTACCACTGTTTAATATTCGGTTTTCATTTTTATAATTACCCTCTATCCAATGAGAATGCTTTTTCCATGTTTGTTTTTTTTAAAAAAAGAAATTTATGTATAATTTTCAAAGTGAATAAAGAGCCTTGCTGGCATGGCACAGTGGTTGAGCATCAACCTAGGAACCAAGAAGTCACAGTTCCATTCCCCGTGAGGGCATATGCCTGGGTTTCAGGCTTGATCCCCAGTAAGGGGCGCGCAGGAGGCAAGCTGATTAATGACGCTCTCATCATTGATGCTTCTCTCTATCCCTCCCCCTTCCTCTCTCAAAAAATCAATAAAAAAACATTTTTTTAAAAAATTGAATAAAAATAGTAAGTAAAAAATGGGGGGGGAAACGGAAAAAGACTAATAAGAAAAAGATGATTAATGTGATATTCGAATGATGCTCAGGAAACAATGACTTAGACTTTCTACTCCTAAGTAACCCCAAATCTGAGGCCTTTCACACAAATTCACCTGACATCCAGTGCATAAATAAAATACTTTAGTGAAAAATTTTGCCTTCTTTTGAAATTTTACCAATTTAGAAATTTAGAAATACATGGTTATCTAAAATACAAAACACTATTAAGAGCATTTCCATTTAAATCAACTTTTGCTCCAAACATACTCACTGAATATGAATAAATCAACCACCAAAAAAACACATTTTTCTACATTTAATATTCTTAGATTTAATTTCATTTTGTAAAAAGTGAGAAAAAACTTTAACAGCATAGCTACTATACCATGGTATTTCTAAAGCTACTTCCCACAACTGTGTCAAGCAACTATTCTAGTTTTGCTTATGATTTCTCAATCTAATTCTGGGAATTAATAAAGTTGAGCATCTACCAAGAGGTCTCTGGTTCAATTCCTGGTCAGGGCACATGTCCAGATTTCAGGCTTGATCCCCAGTAGGGGGCGCGCAGGAGGCAGCCAACAGAAGTCTCTCTCTCATTGATGGTTCTCTCTCTATCCTTCTCCCTTCTCCTCTCTCTAAAATCAATAAAAAATATATCAAAAAAAAATTTTAATAAGAAAATTTCTATACCTAATAAAATAGCTATTTATTTGTCCATAGACTTATTGGTTGTCAATAGATTTCTACAGATAATACCTATATATGACAAAAACTAGTCAGTTACATGACATTCCAATGCCTTCAGTAAGAAACAGCAATGCCTACGCAACTCCTGTAAATACTATAATAAACTCCTTGACAAGTCCTCTCGTTCGTTTCATTCAAATATTTACTGAATATTCACTATGTGCCAAGTTACTATGCTTAATTTTAGTTAAGAAAAAATCCTGCCTGGCCAGGCGTGGCTCAGCGGTTGAGCATCGACCTAGGATCCAGGTGATCAGGGTTCGATTCCCGGTCAGGGCACATGCCCAGGTTGTGGGCTCGATCCCCAGTAGGCGGCATGCAGGAGACAGCTGTTCAACGACTCTCTCATCATTGATGTTTCTATCTCTCTTTCCCTCTCCTTTCCTCTCTCTGAAATCAATAAAGATATATATTTTTTTTAAATCGTGAATTAATCTAAAAACATATATGCAAACTATTATAAAATATAATAAAATGTTAACAGTTTAGAATAGTGATCACAAAAAAGAAAAAAAAATGAGGTGAGCCTATGATTGCCCTAACTTACTGCTTCCTGCCTGGAGAACTTACAGGATGCAGTACAGGAAAAGGGAACCAAAGCAGAACCCAGCAACCTCCCTGAGTTGAGAAGTTGAAAATTCAGGGGACAAAGCCATCTAGAATTAGCAGGGCAGAGTACTGAAGATGAGTTGCAAGGAGAGGAGAGAGTTGCACAGAAAGACACCTAAAGAGACTGCCTTCCAGTCCTTTGGTGAGCACCTATCAGTGCATGGGTATGAGGAAACTACCGAAGACCAGAGAAAAAAACCACATGGAAGGAGCAGGTGGCACAATCCCTGGCACTCACACAAGCCAGGAGTACTTCATGTTTCTGTGACCTAGAATGGGAAAACCTCGTAATACATGAAGCATTGAGTAGAATATGAAAGAAGAACGAAGTGAAGCCTAAACTAAAGCCTGGTCTGGTCCTACCTAAGGAAGCTCAAACCTAAAAAAAAATCTAATTGTTTCCAAGTAACTTAACTATGCCCTAGGACAAAGCTCAAAAATGTTTGAAAGAATAAAAAATAACCAGTACACAGCAAGATAAAATTTTAAATGCCCAGCTTCCAATAAAAAATTGCCAGGCAGGCCCTAGCCAAGTTGCTCAGTTGGCTGCACTGTCGTCCCAAAGAATTGGGAGTTCCATTCCAGGTCAGGGCACACACCTGGGATGCAGGTTCAATCCCTGGTCGGGGCACATGCAGGAGGCAGTCAATCAATGTTTCTTTCTCACATCAATATTTCTCTCTCTCTCTCTCTCCCTCTCACACTTCCCTTTTCTCTGAAAAGCAATGGAAAAAATATCCTTGCGTGAGGACATGTATATCTCGTCTGGACNAAAAAATTGCCAGGCAGCAAAGCAGCAGGAAAATACTACCCATAATGAGGAGAAAAATCAATTCACAGAAAGACCCATAAATGATACAAATGATAGAATAGGCAGGCAATGCCATTAAACCAGTTGTTATAAGACATTCCTTCCATATGTTCAAGAATATAGAGGAAGGCACAAGTAAGTTAAACAAAATACTCAAAAATAACTTGAATAATGGCTGAAATTATTTTAAAATTTCATAAAAACTCTAAATCCACAAATCCAAAATACTCAATATATCCTATGCACAAGAAACATAAAAAAAAAATTTTAAGTATACCAAGAATATAATCAAATGATTTAAAACTTGTAATAAAATTGTAGTTTTTAAGTTTTTTAAATGAATTCAGAGAAAGGAAGGGAGAGGGAGAGATAGAAACATCTATGATGAGAGTCATTGATCAGCTGCCTCCTGCATGCTCCCTACTGGGAATGGAGCCCACAACCTGACCGGGAATCAAACTGACCTCCTGGTTCACAGGTCGACACTCAACCACTGAACCACGCCAGCAGGACTGTAATAAAATTTTAAAAGCACCAAGAAAAAAGGCGTTAAATATGAAGGAGTAAAGATAGGAATGATAGCAGACTTCTTGTCAGAAACAATGTCAGCTAGAAGCCAGTGGAATAAATCTACACCCAGCAAAGATACCTCAAAAAGGAAAGCAAAATAACCTTTTCACACATTCAGAAACATAGGATTCCTTACCAGCAGACATGAACTACAAGAAATGTTAAAGGGAACCCTTCAGGTGGAAAGAAAATGAAAACAGATGGAAATCTGGATCTACACAAAAGAATGAAGAGCCCAGAAATAGTAAATGTACAGGTAAATGTGAACTATTCCTTTTTCTTATTGTTTAAATCTCCCTAAAGGTAACTGACTTTTTAAAGAAAAAATTTTAAAAATGAATTGTAAAATTTATAACATGTAGAAGTAAAACATATGATAATGATAGTACAAAGACCAGGATATAAAGGAAATGGAAGATTACTGTTCTAAGGTCCTTATACTATAAATGAAAAGATATACTACCACTTGAAGGTAAGTTAAACTTGCATACTATAAACCCTAACGCAAACACCTAACAAAAATTGTAAGGCAATAAAGAATATAAAATGTTATCATGAGAGAAAAAACAGCAGCTGTAGAATAGTGGTTTCCAGACTTTTATATATTGCAAACAATTAGAAATAAAATATTACAATAAATGAAGAAACTAACAGGGTTAATTCTATTTTGCCAAGTAAAAACTTAGAAACATAATTATTTTACTATCACTATTAATTTATAAAAGAACAAGCATTTTACAATTATAGAAGGAGGAAGACCAATCACCAAATAATGTATCATTATTAAACATTCACTCCACTCTTATTTTTTTTCACTTTACCATGGAAATTGGTCTGAGGGTTTAAGAAAAAGCATGTGGGTATCACTGCTCTACAGTAGCATGGTTCTGGCCTCATATACAAGCACCATCAAGAAAAGACTGCTGGTGTCTAAAAAAAAGTGACCAGAAAACAAAGCGGTGGAGAGTATCTTCACCTGATTCAGCAGGAAAAGTTCAACTAAAAACTGCATTAGGGAGAGAAAGATTCTCTTACCAGTATTGATATCAAAGCTATAAACCTGCCTAGCAATTTTATAGGCACAGAGTAGTCATTCCATGTGCCAGCAAACTCTAGGAGTTGGTCAAGATCATCAACACAATTTAATTGTACTTTAAAAATGTCAACCTGCCTAGGTTAAAACACAGCTCCACTTACCTCCTGGTAACCTTTGACAAGTTACTCAACTTGTAAGTCTTATAGAACTGAAGATAATATACAAATTACTTAGAAGTGTGCCTGGCACATAGTATAGGGACTAAGGAAATATTTGCAGCTGTTACTATTATTACTCTCCTCAGAAATGCTCCTGCCCTCATTTATTCGAACTTAATCACCAGTAATGTCTTTCTTTTTGTAGTAATACGTACACATCTCCTTCAGGAAGCCTCCGTTTTCCTAAACAATTCCACCCAGCTCTGAGTTAATTCATTTGTTCCAGCATTTACTCATTCATTTACAAAGTAACTTCTTCTACACAATAACCTCTTAGCACTTACTAAAAAGCTCTCTAAAAGTTACCTTTCCGTGTTTTTTTCACATGTACTCTCTGAATTCAGACTTAACCATGTAAGGCAAAAACAGTGTCTACTATGTATGTTATAGTTTCCAATGGCACCTAACTACTGAACTCTGCAAAGAAATCAACATTTATTAAATGCTGGCTACACCAACATAATTCTGCTACAAAGACAATGGGGTTATCTTAATGTGCCGTTTTTCTAAAGCAATGCCCCAACAGATGCATTAATGCCCACCAAACAAAACAATCCTAAGTCTCCACTAGCGATGTATATATATGTTTGTTTACATCCCTTTCACAAGTTCAACCTGATTCAAAACTAATTTATACGTCCGTATACCACGAAGTGTTAGTACCGCTAATAAAACAAGCCACCCATCATTTGATAGTATTTACTTCACGACGAAAAAGTTTCCCCTTATGCAAAGCAACCTAGTAAAAATGGACCCCGAGTTCTCTCCGGCTCTTGAAAGACGCGCAGAACGGCACGGGAACCGGGCGCGTTACCTCCACGTTGTCCGTGAGGCCGTACTCCGAGTGAGGATTTTCCGCAACCTAGAAAACAAAACCCAGGTCAGAGCCAGCGGCCACCCTTCCCCGCTGCACGCCGCCACCCTGAACCCAGGGCCTCCGGGTACCTGCGTCTGTCCCTCCAGCATCTGCTCCGGCTCCATGGCGGGCCCTGCAAGTCACAGTCCCCGGATACCAGTCTTGGAAAACAAGAACCACCGTGAGTTACCCGGGAGGTCTCGGCGCGGGGACGCGGCGAGGGAGTCCCGGCGAGCTCCCGACCCCGCCCCTCACCCCCACCTGGGCGCGGGATCGCCGGGAGCAGCGGAGGAGCGGGGTGCGGCCGTCCCGCCCCGGCGCCCGCATCAGCTCCGGAAGCTCCGCGGTCCCAGGATCCTACCAGAGGGGGTGGAAGGGGTGAGGGGAG